TTGATTGCTAAGGAATGGTTGTAAGTCAAGGACTTCCGGTAAAGGGTTTTTTGGTACAAATCAAAGGCCTTCAGGCAATTTTGAACCTATGGGCTACATATCCTGAGAAATGCTGGAGTAACTGCAATGAATCTATGATCCGTTTCCCAAGAACAGATGCTGATTGAAAATCTTTTGCCACCTGGAGTGAGGTGGAGAGAAATACTAGGCTGGCCTAGAAGATAAATTAGAAAGAATGGCATCAGCTAATTTGGGTTGCTTCCTTTATATTTTCACTTGGCCAATACTGATATTTCTCTCTCTCCCAGTATTAGCAATAAGAAATCCTTTTTCACTACTGCCCTATTGCCTGCTGACATCTCACAGCCTCTACCTACAGGGTCACATCAATAGCTTCTATCCAGAGGCAGGAATGAAAGACCAAGAAAAAAATGTTGTGGTTCAGCTGACCAGTTTTTTTAATGCAACTCTTAAAGTGGCAGCATCTTTTTTCAGATTCACCAGGAAACCTGGAAGAAAACCACACTGTGCTTCTACAAAAACTCTTCTGAATCATTTTCAAACCATGCTAAGTCAACTATCTGACCCTACATCCCTCTACCTGTTGTGAAGCTTGTTTCACCATAAATACAGAAACAGATTCCTATATTTACTGCAACTCCATAAAAATAAACATATATAACGTTGTTGCTTGTTAATGTCTACTAAACTGGAATTTGAAATGATGCTTTGCAATATTCCTCATTATGTATTTAGAAAGAAGAGTTCTAGCCTATGATCATCATATCAATACTGCCTAATCATTGTGTACTTTCAAGACATTTTTATTGCTCACAAATATTAATTTACTGAGTCCAAATTCTTTTGAGATACACTCATCTTTAAATTAAAATTAGAATTTGATTTCTCCAATGTCTGTGACTGCCTGCAAGGCATCTTTGGTTGGAAGTATTTTCACAAAAAAATGTATCACCAATTATATCACAGAATAGGGACATCTTCCAACTACCTAGGAATCTCATAAAGCTACAAATATTAATATTATACTAATGTACCAATCTAAATTTTGAAAATTTGGGAGATATGCTTACTTCTGCACATATTTTCTAAATGTCATTTAATGGGTTTTGCTTCCTTTCTCACTGGTTGGGACGGTATCTGCAATTCAGAAAGTCTGTAATCTTTTGAGAGAGATTTAGATGCAGCATTGAGGCAAAAGATTCATCCATGAATGAAAGCAAAATCCATAGCAAGTGAGACTTGCTTTTATGAATGCATTCAGCTGACTTTGCAAATACATATAAACAGGAAGTCTTTTATTAAGTAAGACAATACCTCTCCACATTATAGGAGAGGCTTAAATAATGAAAATAGTTACAACACATCTATATTAAGCAATTATGCTTAACAGCAATTTCACAAGGCATGACAAATAATAAATCAGTTATCTGGAATCTTGTTCACTACTATAGTTGGCTCTATTCTTTCACATCAACCAGGCTTTTCAATAGTACAGGGACAACACCGGAACACAGCCTAAGAGCATTGAATGTTTTTATTTGCATTATTAATACGAAATATTAAGAAGTAAAGAAAGGAAATGCTCTGTTACAATTCCTTTATTTTTTCATTTAAAAGTTATTTCATTAACATACTAAGCAAACTATTGGGAGCTTCCTAAATATAGTCCCATCAAATAAATGCCACAAGTTAGAATCAATCTTAATTGGGGCTACAAAATTTGGGCGATCAAAAAACGAAACGACAACCGAGCTCGATGCCAGCAACGGGATTCCGAAAACCTCTGTCGCCCTAATTTTTTGTAGCCCATATATGGGATTCCTAACCTCAACGGCTAACAACGCCGTTTCCAGCTTCCCATTCCCCCAATCCAATTTTTAGCCAATCCGTTTAAATCACGACTCCTGTTTCCGACTCTCCCGAGGAAAACAAGAACGCCCGTTCTGTAGCGTCCAACCTTGAAGGGTTGTTGTGAGCATCAATACACATGGGACGCTGCCAAGCCTAACGTCTGCTTCGAAGAGGAGGAGAAGGAACGGGAACGAAGAAGATCCAAGCAGGTGGTCCGAGACAGCCGCGAGGCAAGAAAAGGGCCCGGCCGGGGGTCACTTACCGAGGAGCCGGCCCAGAAGGGACAGGAGTTCTTCACCTGCGGGGAGTTGCTGAGGGAGAGCGCCCCAAAACTTAGGGCCACCATGCTGCACCCCAAAATCAACTGGAGCAGCCCCAGGGACAGCAGCGGTCTGGCCGGCAGCGGGCTCTGGCAGGCAGCGGACGAGGCCCCGTTCAGACGTGAAGCCACGGGGGATAGGGAGGGTGGCTGGAGCTGCCGGAAGCCGGAGCCGGAGCAGCGGAGCCGACGAGGGGGCGGCAGGGGCGGCGGGTTTGAGGCGGCAGCGGTAGCCGCCACAGCAGCCACAGCTGAGCAAGGTCTGGCCGCCTCAGAGACTACCGTGAGGCGCGTCATGGGACAGCAGGAGCCCGGCGGCAGCACCACCCGTAGAGACATGGGGCGGGGAGGAAGAGAGTCGGCGAACTCCGAGCGGTTCCCCGGGTGGCCTCCACCTCTGGCTGAGGCGGCTGGCCAAGCCCAGGTCCCGTCTACCGGAGCCGCTGGCTGTTCACTCCCTGCTGCGCGCGGAAGGCAGGCGACCGTGGGCGCCCGCTTTTCGCCTCGCGCTCCCTAGGCCTCTGCTGGCAGTTCTAGGTGCCCCCCCACACACCTCCCGCCGCCTTGCGCGGATCCTCCGACCTCCCGCCGCTGGACCCTCGCGCTGTCTTGCCCGGGCGGGAGGAGGAAACCAGCTCCCCGACCCTCCCTTTCCGCCCAGAAGCTCTTAAGCCTTGCAGCCTATTCCCTGGGGGAGACGGCTCCCACCACCACCACCATGGTCTGCAGCCATTCGAAATCTGCTCCCCTGGCAAACTGCTCAGAAGCCCCCTCCCGCAACGACTCCCAAACTTTTGAACTCCTCCTGGTTAACTCCCTGCCGCGCAAGACTCCCGCCGGGCTTGTCCCACCCACTGAAACGCGCAACCCACAAACTTCTCCCGGGCTCCACCGAAAAATGAAACCTCTGGATCGTTCACTTCCGCCCTTGATAAGGACTCCCCTTTTGGGTTGCAGCGGAGGCCTCAGATGCCTGACCCGCTTCAGGCCGGCGGTTGTCAGAACGATCCTGCCTGCTGGATAATCCGGCGGAGCGCTTTGCGAAAGTCGGATTGGAAAGCCAGGCAGCCCTAATTCTCCTTACTTCTTAATTGAGCCCCAACTTTTCGTCCACCCTCCCATTTATAGATTTTGTATCAAATACTTTACTATCAAAATTAATCTTTATTAAACCAGACTCGCTTTCACCTAATGCCAACTTCTCTTGGCAAATGCAATTTTTGTAAACTGAATTTACATTTAAAAAAATTATCAAAATAATTCATCCTAACTGCGGTTAGAATGAACCTGTTTGCAATAAGTGCATGGCCACCTCTCCTGTTTTAATTTAAGTTGTATAGGTTTAAGACTGACTTGCTTTTTCAGCCTGTCACTTGGTATACCTTCTAGTGCACCTCTTATGATATCTGAGACTAAAATTCCTCTATGATTCTAAAACTAACTCTTTCAAGTGGTGATCATTTTTGTATATTTTCTAAAAACAGAGACTAATTTGTTCATTCAGATCCCACTACTCAGGCTCTCAAAAATATGTGGGTCCCATCATTGCCAAATACAACCCAAGCCCCCCCTCCTCTTATTTATCAAGCTTTCTGTTTTCTATCACTTATGGCAGGTTTAAAATATTTAAAACATTTCAATGACTTGCTACTCCATAACCCATTCAGAAGTCTTCTGAGTTCAACCTGTGGTACATTTCCCACTACTTGTTTTAAGTGCTCTTCTTAACCATTAGGCTTTTGTATTGTTAAGTATCCCAAGAGAAGAGCAAGAAAAGTAATACCTCTGCAGTTTTTAGCATTTGGTTTTAACTTGACTGTAAAAAAGTGAAATAGCCACAGGCATTTACACACCAAAACATAGTAGGGATTTATTTAAAATCAGTAACTTCCAAGTTAGAAAATCTAGAAAGAGTATGGAAAAAACTAAATTTATATTGGCTAGGTAGTATTTGCAGCCACTATATTGAACATTTTACAAAGAGTTAATTTTCTTTTTCAAATGGTTCTAATACATATTATAAAGATATAAAGTGATTGCAGTGGTGGGTTCCAGATCCCATTGCTACCAGTATGGTACAACGGGACCCAGTGTCTCCCACAAGCATGCGCACGCTGCACACATGCATCCTTACCTCTTGCGACACATCCGCGACGCTCCAGCTACTCAGTAGAAGGGCCGAAGAGCTCAAATACATGTAAGGAGGACAGGCGGGCGGGCCGGCCCTTCGGAACACCGTACCAGAATGGTACACAGTGCTCCCAGGAGGCACCGGTATGCCTGTACCGGGGCATACCGCCTGCAACTGACCACTGAGTGATTGGCATAAACAAGTAATGGACTCCACATAGTTTAATAAAAGTTCAAGTTTTAAATTCAAGATTCTACAGGACTTGAAAGAGAATGGTGGGTTAGTAGTCAAAGATTTAAATTGTATACTAGTTGTTTAACATGGAATACACAGTTGGCTCCATAGTTCAAAAAAATTATTCCGAATTAGGGAAGTCACATTCAGGCCTGAAACTCTTCAGGAGCCAGTGGGTGCATGAACAAGGACAGGATTGGTATACCATAAGAACGTCTACTGTAACAGTCCAGCCTCTTCTACTTTGATTGTCTGTGGATAGGAGTGTCGAGATAAGATTTATTCCCCCCCCACACACACACTATTGTAGATCTCCTTTGAATAAATAATAGTCCTGCAATGTACAGTACTGCACAATATGCCACAACCTAAACTGAATGAAATTACTTGCCTCCGTGCATGATTTTAAAAAGATATAAAGACAAAAATGGAATCATAATTGCCTGTAGAATATAATCTTTTTTATTTCACAAGTGATGTAAAGTTTTAAAACCCAAAGACTCCTTTATTTTCTACATAATTTCCTTAAACTTGGCACTCCCTAGTCTTACGGCAGCCAGCCTAGAAAACAGTATCATATATACAGTCATTGCATTTGAAAATAGTGCACAGTTCTATTTAAAGTAGAAAAATAACATCCAAGGGGAAAATGGGAGGTATGAAACATACAAAAGTTAAAAGCAGTAGAAATTTCATGGCTTTGCACAAGTATCAGATGTTAAGAGAACAGGTGAAGACACTTTTTGTTTGAAAGGCACTTTTTTTTCTTGCAGTAAAGCATTGTGGTTTTCGTCAAGCTTCCATTAGGCCCAACAGTTAAGAGACTATTAAAGAGGCAATTTCAGTAAGGAAAAGAATTCCAAGTTAAAAATTTATAGATGCCAGAAATTAATACCAACTTTATAAATATTTGGTCCTTTTGTAAAATAGGCAACCATGATCCAGTCCCTTCAATACTTAAATGATACTGCGCCATTCTAGTGAGCAAGATACCTGTCAGGTTCACTAATAACCCCAAATATACATATGCTTGTTAAAAAGTATCAGAGCTTTTGATGTGCAAGTGTGTCCCAGAACAATGGCTTGACTGCTAATAATTTTATAATTCTGTATCTCTGTATCTCGATGGCTGCCCATAGTATCCACGCTTGGAGTGATCAGATAGCTGCTTCCGATAATCTTCCTCCTCTGCATCGCTGCCGTAAATTCCTGGATTATCTAGGTAAGATCTAGCAGCCGGCTTCTGAGGCTCAGGAGGTCTGGAACTGAAATCAACATATACAAAGTTATTTTGAGCAAGCTAACACAGAGACCAAGCAGGAATAGATTTGTTACCAGTTTAAGTTAAAGTAAAAAGTTTGCTTTTATTAATAGTGTCAGACCATCAACAACACATTTGAAACGAAGTTCCTGCCAAATCACTGCCATTCAAAATTCTCTTATACTTGAAGGGAGTTGTTTCGTCTTCCTCATTAGTAAGGCTGGCCTGAAATGAGGCTGCTAGCATAGGATAATAGATCCTGTGAGAATGTAGGCAAAAACAAACTACAAAAGACTTCTAATTTTGATTGTTTTGAATGGGATATATTTAAGGGGCAACAAAGTAAACATGTTTGCACTCTATCCATTTAGCTCTCTGACAATATTCTTTTCATGGCTCATTTTGCAAAAGTTTATTTTTAAAAAAACATAGTAAGATGGGAAAGAGAAATGATACTTTCAATAATGTTGTGCAGCTTTCTTCCACTTCAGAAGGCTGCCATAATTATAATGAATTAGAATTTTTTTGGATATGAAATTTCTCAAAATCAGAGAAAAATGAGATTTTCTACCGAAGGTACTTAATATTTACTGTTAATATGCCAGTATTACTTTTCCAATAACTCAATAATTTGACAATAAAATTTAATAAGGAAAGATCCAATTACAGTGTAACAGAGAAAAGCTCTCTGAGGAAAGTGGGAAAGAAGGCATATACTTAATTAGGTCAGTGTTTTAGTAGAGGACAAGTGAAGAGAACCAAGGGTGGCTTATGAATAAAATTCTTACAGAAGAAAATTGGGCTGCAAATGGTCAGGAGTGTATTTCCACATATAAAATGTGAAAAGGAACAAACTCCTTTGTTGGCAACAAAGTTGGAAAAGATAATTATTATAACCAGGGATATACATCTATATTTATTAACTACATACATTTATATAGCAGTCTTATTACCAGAAGAATCCTAGGTTCAAGAGATTCATCATGTTGCCAGATTGAATGGAAGGCAATGCAGTAAAAATGTGTGAAAAAAGATAATTAACTGTACTACACTATCTAGAGAGCTGTCAACTTCCAACTTACTTGTGGACCTCTGTTCTAAAAAAAAATTCTGATGCTGAATAAGCGTGTTAAACATATTCAAAGCCACAGAAGTATAAAAAATAGGCAAATTAATTCAGTTTTACCTGGAAATCTGGGGACGGTTGTGTTCTGGCTTCTGTGTTTTCATTGGGACTGCATAAATGTCTGGGTGTTTTTGTGCTATTTCCACCTTTAAAAAAGCAGGTAAAATATTTCCATATTTCCCTCAAACTATCAATTATTCTTTGATAGCAATTTTCCCTCCAAGAGCAAGATAATTTACTTTACAGATTTGTCAGATTATTTACAAAATATGTAAAAATATCCAGACTTAGAGGTTTGGATATAAAATGGCTCTCTGAATGACATGAACATTAATGGAGATTATTGTGCTAGAAGGAATAATATTTTTCTAACATTTTTCTTCATTTGACAGTTCTAGCATTCCATTCCAAATTGTTCTAAAAAGTTTTCAAAAATAGTATTTGCTGTATCTCCAAACTGTTATTTGAATTATGTTTTTTATTAATTTGATTCCATATCACTAGTTTTCTTACTATTGTAAATAAAACATTTGCACAAGACCAACAGAATCATTATTTTATACCCTGGCATTCTGTGCTTCTTGCAGTTCTTGCATTCTTTGTAGTCTGGCCTTGTGATCCATTTTCTCAAAAATTTTAACTTTCCCCAGCACAGATTTTGGTGTGTTCTCTTCTACAACTTCTCCCACTTTTTCTTCCACTTCAGAAGGTTGAATGACTGGTTGAGAAGACTTCAATATAGGCCGGCCAAAGTTTGGTTTCATGGATATAGGGGGAGGAGCTACTTTAGCTGGTCCTCCCAAATTTTCAATACTAGGTGCATTAGGGCTGTTTGTTCTGGGTTCGTAATTCTTAGGAATATCATACGGATCTTCTTTGTTTTGCAACTTAGCCTATAAACATAAAGACAAATACAAGTGTGGATTTTTTACAAAAAAATAACAGATTAAGGCTAGAAATGATCTGTTTCAATAAACTGCTAAACCTATAAAGCTGATATGTTTAGTTAAGGAAACACAGAGAGCTACTTTTCTCCCTTAATTTTGGCATCAAGATTTGAAGTTAGAAACTAAACAGCAGATATTGAAAAGTAACTAAAACACTCTCAGTAAATGAATCAACAGTCCACGGAGGGCTATGTTTAGCAGAACAAGTAGATAAGTGATGGCTAACCTTTTTGTCATGCAGAAAGTGAGTGCATGCGCAACAGTGTGCTCGCATGCATGCACCCATAATGGATCCACGCGACACCCCCCCTGTGCTCACCCCATGCTCCCTTTGGCCATGCACATGTGACCCCCGCGTGCCCCATTTGGGGACTAGTAGGCCTCCTGCACCCTCCTGGAAGCAAAAATGGGCCACGGGGGGAGCGCC